GGCGGCGGCGACACGAACGGCGTGGACAAGGCAGGCGGCTACCCGCGTGCCGCGGAGGAAGACTCGGCCTCACCACCCGGCGCCGCCAGCGACGCTGAGCCTGGCGACGAGGAGCGGCCGGGGCTGCAGGTGGACTGCGTGGTGTGCGGGGACAAGTCGAGCGGCAAGCACTACGGCGTCTTCACCTGCGAAGGCTGCAAGAGCTTCTTCAAGCGGAGCATCCGCCGCAACCTCAGCTACACCTGCCGGTGAGCTCCCTATCAGCGCAGGGCCGCCGGGCATACAGTCCCGGCCTGGGCCGGGCCTCTGACCGCCTCGGTCACCTTGGGCCTGGCGCTGACCTTCCCTGGGTCTCTACTCCCCCTCTGAGATAGGGGCACAGCTCCCTCTTCCCCTTTTCCATTGCATTCCATTCCAGGATTGTGTATACAGTCGGCGCTGTATCGATGCAGGTCCCCCCATCAGGTGGTCCCTTGTGGCTTCCGTCCCAGTTACTTGCTTATCCTCCCTCCCTTTTCCCTGGAGAGGGGTCAACTCCGCGGAGGGAGAGGTCGGGGGTTCTGTCAAGGGTGGGACCCTAACTCCAGGGCATTCCTTCTCTTCGGAATCTCGGCGCGCGGGGGACCCCGCGGGAATCGAACGTGGAACTTGGACTGTGGAGCTCGCGGCGTCCAGGGGCCATTGTCTGCGGCCGCGCGGATCGATACGGCGCGCCCTTGGGGTCAAATATCACTTCCAAAGTCGCTCTGGCCACTGAGGCGGCCGCGGGAGCGAAACTGGGATGGCACAGGGCGGCCTTCTCATGGGGGCCCCTGCTGTGGGGGTAGTTGGGCCTGCCCATGGGGGGAACCCCTCCTGGGCTCAAGCTGGGCCTTGGGTCACCGGAAACTGCTGCTCGAGGTCCGGGAGGGTGGCTGGATGGGACCGCATCTTGGCAGCTCCACCCCTCCTCCCAGCCAGGAGTGGGTGCGGACCTGGGCTCCTGGAAAATCCCTGAAACTTTCGTCGGCTCTGAGGCAGGGTGGGGGTGAATGTTTCCAAGAAAGAGCCCTGGGCTGTCCTAGGTTGGAGCCCCCACTGACAGGGCGTGGCCTTATTAGCTTCTCTGGTTGGTGCTGGGGCATTGAGTCTGGGGGAGAAGGCGCTGGCATTGGGTTTCCAGCCCAGGGCCCCCTTTTCCACCACTCTTTGATGAGCATCCTTTCATTCCATTGACAAGCCCCTACTTCCCATTCCCGATGAACCTGCGTGGGCTCTGCAGAACCAGTAGGGAGAGTCCCATTTTCCAGAAAGGCAAAACTGAGGTCTAGAAAGGTCCTGGTGCCTGCTCTAGGTCACCTAGAAAGAGACCTAGCCCCAGTTGGGATTTAGCTAGGGGAACTGTGTGGTTGGGAAGGAGGGTGCCTTTGAGTCTGGGTCAGGATATTTCCAGGGAGAGCTGCTGATGGAGTGCTTGTTGACAAGGCCACTGGGCGGGGCCCTGGGCACCTGAGGCAGGAGTTTGGCCCCAGGTCCAGCGTCAGGGCCTGTCTGGGGTGGCTGTGTGTGGAGGGGAGCTGGCTTACTCCCTCCTGAAGTGCTAACTGGGCCATCAGACTTTGGCCTCATTCTTGCTGCTAGAATAACTGCCTGCTCTCTGACCAGGTCTTCAGGGAGGGCAGGGGAGGGGCTTAGGTCGTCTGGGGGTCCCAGAGGCTCCCTGAGAGCTGGGGCAAGGAGCACCAGGAGAGGTGGGGCATGGGGAGGGGGACATTGGGGCTGGCAGGCTTTTCAGAAGGTCTGTGCTGTGGGACCTAGTGAAGTCACCGCTCCTCTCTGAGCTTCAGATTAATTCAGCAAAGTCCTCTCAGGGCTGAGCCTGGGTGGTTTGAGGCTGGCCCCCTGGAGAGACCCCAGCTCCAAGCCCAGCCTTCATCCAGTTTGAAGGAGACACAGTGAGACACAGATGTCCCTAGCCTGTGGGGTCTGGGCTGGGCCAGAGGGAGGGATGATCTGGGTTCCCAGGAAGGAGCAAGGAACTCTGAGGGTCAGAGAGGGCTGCCTGTTGGAAGGCCACAGGAGTTGGGCCTTGAAGCTTGAGGGGTTTGACAGGTAGAAGAGGCAAAGGGCTGTCTTGCAGAGAGTGTGGCTTTAGCAAACACTCAGGTTTGGGGAGCAGTGTTGTTAGATGAGACCACCCAGGCTTGGGAGAAGTTAGAGCTGAGTGGGCCTGAAATGCTGGACTGAGGGTGATGGGGAGCCATGGCGGGTCTGTGAGCAAGGAACGGCTAAGATCAAATTGGACCAGAAGCCAGAAACCCTGAAAGAAGGCCAAGTTGAGCTGTGTGGTTGGGCCAAGCATGTGCTCTTTAGGTGGGATAACAGGTAGGACTTACTCTTTCCCCATCTGGAGGGACAGAGGATCTGTCCTGACCCTGCAACTGGGGAAGTTGAGGCAGAAGGTTTAGGGCCTCCCCTGAGGTCAGAGGATTCTGAGTCCAGCCTCTGCCTGGCTGCCTGGCTGCCTCAGGCCTAGTCGTTTCCACCCGGCTGCCCAGGACCCTCCCACTGCCTGCCTGCTGAGCTTTGTTCTGGTTCTGCCTGAGCTCCCTCTGCCTTAGCAGGGCCTCTTCCTGGGGGCTTGGGCTGGGTGGTGGGCAGAGGCCTGGGCTCAGAGGCTGGCGCTGTGGGACACAGGCACTCAGAGGCCCTCCAGAGCCTCAGCTCTCCTAAACCTGCCATTAGGACCTGCCAGCTGAGGTCTGGGTCTTGACATCCTCTCCTCCTCTCCTCTCTCCTTATTTCTCTAGAATGAGTGCATCCCATATAGAGGTGGTCTCTGGCCTCCCATTTCCAGATGAGGAAACCAAGGCTCACTGTAGAAGTCAAATATGTTTGATTTTTAACTTCAAGTGTTTGTTTTACTCTGTGACTGTCTCTGGGTACCCTCTTGGTACCTGGCTGGGACTCTAGGCTGTCTACCCCTGACCTGGGCCTCAAAAGGCCTGGGGCCCAGGGTGGAAAGAGAGAGGGAGCAGGGGCCAAGGGGAAAAGGTGCTGGGGACATTTGAAGAACAAGGGCCTGAACCTTCCTGCTTGGGACTGACCTTGGACATGAGCTCACTGCCTCACAGGGTGGGGCCACCTGGAAGAAGCAACACAGTCCCCAAGGGCTGCCCAGAGGAAGCTTCCTGGGCTCAGTTAGGAGTTGGAAGTTCTTTCCAGAGGAGGGGTTTGGGATCTTAAAGGGGGATACAGGATTTCATTCATTCATTCATTCATTTATTCATTCATTGGCAGTGGCCATGTGCAGGGTGATAATGCTGGGTCCCCACAGAGGACTGGCCCTGGCCTGGCCCCTTAGCTCACAAAGCCCTGCTCCCTGACCACATTCTTTCTCTACTCTCACATTGCCCTTGGGTCAAAGACCCTGTCCCTTGGCCTGACAATGACCAAGTCAAATGAGCCCATCTAGGCCTCCATATTTTGGCATTTCCAACCTTTTGTTGTCATTACACTCTCTGCCTAGAACTGCCTCTCCAGTCACCTGGGGAACTTCTGTTCATCCTTCAAAACCCAGTTCCAGCCTACCCTCCCTGGTTTTGTTGCTAATCTACTTTGCCACAGACTGCTCTTCGTCTGTCACCGTTCACCCAAGTTGTCTTTTCCTCTTTGCACACTTGCCACTTCGGAGCCACCTGCTGAGTGTGGGTTGGGTGGGACATTGGTGGTCCTCAGGTGCAGCCTTTAAAGAGAGCTTACAAGGTGGCTCCAGGAGCAGGATGTGGGTGTCACCTTATGGTGGCCTCTGCATGCCCACAGGTCCAACCGTGACTGCCAGATCGACCAGCACCACCGGAACCAGTGCCAATACTGCCGCCTCAAGAAGTGCTTCCGGGTGGGCATGAGGAAGGAGGGTGAGTACACGCGGGGGTGGAGTGGGCAGGCAGTGAACAAACGACCTGCCCTCCGCTCCCTCTCGGGGTCTGGGAGCTGTGGAGGGCGGGCTCTGGCGCCTGCTAACCTCATTACCACCGATCTTGACATCCCGTGGGCCTGGGCCTGGGCCTGACCCTGGGCTGGAGGAATCCAATTATCCATGGCTGCCTGGTGGCTGCGGCAGAGCTGGGAATGTAAGAGACTCCCCGACTCCACCCCACATTAGAACTGTTCTCCTCCTTGCCCCGCCCCAGTTCCTCCCCAAGCCACTTGGACTGGGGTGGCCCTGACACCCCAGTGACCCTCCTGCCCTCTAGCCTAGACACCACTTTTTCTGAACAAGGATGTAGTTTTTTATTTGATTTGCTTTTCCTCCACCCTCCCCCCTCCACCCCCTGCCTTGTGTTTGCCCAAGGCAGGAACTCACCCGATTAAGGCAAAGGGCAGCTTACCCTTCTGCCTGACCTGGGTCACGGGGAGCCAGAGGGAGGCCCAGCTTCTTGTCCCTGCCCCAGGGACTTGGGTGGACACATGTGGGGCAGCTGAGTCTAGAACTCCACCAAACACTCTAGAATTCAAGTGGGACCCAGAGACTTCCACACAGAGCCGTTGAGAGCAGAATGTGGCCTACTGAATGAGCCCGTGCTAGACTTCATGCCTGGACTCTCATGGGCCAGGCCTGCAGTTCTTCCCTGCATCTGCCCTGAATCTCTTCTGCTCTAAAGTTGGTTTCTTCTCTGCTGGGTCACTGGAAGAATCTGGGAATTCTTCGCTCAGAGTCTTTCTCTTAAGATTGTCTGATCACTCCCTTTAGCCATTTTAAGTTTGGGGGTGATTCTTTCCCACCCTGCAACCTGCATTTTGCCTCCACTTGTTGATTTGACCTAAAATCCTGATGTATGTCAAATCAGGGTCACAGCTCTCCATAGTATCTGGGTGGAAATAATAATCTCAGCTCATGCCCCAAGCACAGCCCTATCTCAGGGTCTTTGCACAGGCTGTTCCCTCTGCCTGGAATGCTCTTCCCCTAGATAACCTGCATGGCTTCCTCCCTCACCTCCTTTAAGATTTGCTCAAACAACACCTCCTCAGAGAAGCCCTCCTGATTACTCTTCACTTTCGCCCCTTTATTTCTTGCCATTCTGTCTTGCTGTATAACTTACCTACTCCTGCATCAGGATATCTGCTCCTCAAGGTCAGAGACTTCTGTCTGACATATCCCCAGTGCTCAGATCAGGTCCCGGAACACAGAAGGGCCTTAATAAATGTTTCTTGGCTTGAATTACTGTCCATTTAGCTCTTATGTGCCAAGTGCTGTTCTAACCCAGTTAGATACGTGCTCATTTAACTCAGTGGTTGGTTTCATCATCATTATCATTAACTGCATTTTATAGGTGGGGAAACTGAGTAGAAACCAGAGAGGTGAGACCATTTGCCAGTGTCAGAGGGCAGTAGAATGGTGGTTGGGAATTTGAACCCAGGCAGTCTGGGCTGAATGAGGCAGAAGAGCTGGGGATGGGGCTCTCAGGAAGCAAGAACAGTAAGTGCAAAGGCCGTGAGGTGGAAACCTGACTTGGTGATGGAGGAATGGTGAGGGTGGGGTTTAGAACTAAATGGGTCAGGGGTTGACTGGTGGGATTCATTCTTGGGCCTTATCCAGCTACACCCATTTGACAGCTGATCCTGAGACTTGGAAGTCACATGGAGCAAGGCTTGAACCCAAGCCCTTGGTTCCCGGATCAGCTCCACTGGCCCCTGGCTCCCACTTGCGCCCCCCCTCCCCATCTGCTTCATGGTGGTTTGACTGGGAGTTCATGGAGGTGATGAGACAGGGCACACTGCCTCATTAAAGCTCATTAATTAGTCTCTGTCTGGCACCCAGCCCAGTCGGCCCCTCTACCCCGCCCACTGTGGCACAGGCCAGGCTGGCATAAGGCCAGCCCTCTTCCTCTTGGTGCCTCAGCTTCCCTCTTCCCACCTGCCTCATCACAGGGGACACTGGCCAGGGTGAGTAATTGGCCCTACTCCCACTCATACGCAAGGCTGCTGATGGAATCATGTGTTTATTGAGCACCTACTACTGGCCAGAACTCTACTCCAAGCGCTGGGGTCACTGCAGAGACCAAGATGAGACCTGCTCTTGGGAACTGGGACCTGCAGGCTGGAGCTGGGAGGTAGAGAAGTATCGCACCTCCATAGAAAGCTCAGTGTGCAGCCCGTACTGATCACGTGTTTTAGGGGTAGGCTGGCCCTGGGCCTGGAGTCCCAGGAAGGTGCTCCCTCCCTGGTCTCATGCTCAGTTCTTGAATCCCTGTGATTGACAGATGAGGGCATGACTGCCTCCCTAGCTGCCAGGGGAGCTCACTCAGTCCAGTAGGGGTCCAGGTATGAATCAAATTAGCCCTCACCTAGTGGTCCCATTCCTACCTGGGAAGGTCCCCCCAAACCCCCTTCTCTGCAGGAAGTAAGAGTCAGGTGGTAGCAGGACATGCACTCAGGTTGAGGGCACAGGGCAGAGCAAGGTGGGGCCTGCAAGACCTTGGCCTCTGTCCTCCCAACAAGCTTTGCACCCGTGAGGGGGGTGAGGGGCTTGGAGGAGAGGGGGCTGAATGACCCTCTGATAACTTTATCTCCTCCCTTTATTCCTCCCTACCCGCCCCCCATGACTCTCTCTGGGTACCCACTTTCCCCCTCATTCCTTCCTCCCTCTTCCTCACACCCCATTCTCCCCTCTCTGGTCGCCTCATGTTCCTCAATCCCCTTCCTGTCCCATTTTCATCATTCCCTCTCTCCCATTTCCTGACTCCGCTCATCTCCTCGCCCCTCCTCCATCCCCTCCCCTCCTCCTCCCCGTCCCCATTTCCCGCTGGGGGTGAATACCTCCCTTACCCCTCACCCCCATATGCATCTTCCCCTCGCAGCGGTGCAGCGCGGCCGCATCCCGCACTCGCTGCCTGGCACCGTGGCAGCCTCCTCTGGCAGTCCCCCGGGCTCGGCGCTGGTGGCGGCCGGCGGAGACCTCTTCCCGGGACAGCCTGTGTCGGAACTGATCGTGCAGCTACTGCGCGCCGAGCCCTACCCGGCGGCGGCCGGCCGCTTCGGCGCGGGCGCGGCGGGAGCATTCGGCACAGGGAGCGGCGCGGCGGGCGCGGTGCTGGGCATCGACAACGTGTGCGAGCTGGCGGCGCGGCTGCTCTTCAGTACTGTGGAGTGGGCGCGCCACGCGCCCTTCTTCCCCGAGCTGCCGGTGGCCGACCAGGTGGCGCTGCTGCGCCTCAGCTGGAGCGAGCTCTTCGTGCTGAACGCGGCGCAGGCGGCGCTGCCCCTGCACACGGCGCCACTGCTGGCCGCCGCCGGCCTGCACGCCGCGCCCATGGCCGCCGAGCGCGCCGTGGCCTTCATGGACCAGGTGCGTGCCTTCCAGGAGCAGGTGGACAAGTTGGGCCGCCTGCAGGTCGACTCGGCCGAATACGGTTGCCTCAAGGCCATCGCGCTCTTCACGCCCGGTGAGATGTGCTGGATGGGGGAGTGGGACTGTTCTGCGGCCTTGGGGAGGAGGGAGTGACCTAGATCTTGACCCTGGCCCCCTTAGCTCTCCACTCGTTGACCCACAGTTAGCCAGACTGCACGTGCCTTGAGTGCTGATGGGGGACAGTGGAGGAGGTGATGCAGGTAGTGTGACACCTTGATGTCCCCACCCCCTGATCCTAAGTCTCCTCAAGAACTTTTTGATCCAGGTCTGGACCTGTGACTCAGGTCCCCACGGCCACTCTTCCTGATTCCCAGGCTCCCTGAGACCCCCACCATTCACCCCTCATCAAGATGCTCTTCATGCTCATGGGCACTGACAGCAGAACGACAGGTGGGGGGATGCGGGAGGGGAGGTCCCCCACCTGGTTCTGGTCCTCACTCTCTGATCTGCCCTCCTTAGACCCTCTGACCCTCTACTGCCAAATTAAGGTGCTCTTTCTGTTACTGACCACTTATGGAGAGCTGCCAGCAGGGTGCTCTGCCACCTGGTTCTGGGCTTCCCTGGGCCCTCCACTCTGCTGGGCACCCAGACCTGCCCAGACTCCCACTCTGCCCCCTGGCCAGCCCCCATGGCATGCCCCGCCCCTCCAGATGAGCTGGATTGGGCTTGAGTGTGGCTCGGAGGTTCCTCCCACCGAGAGGCAGGACTTGGGGCGGGGCCGCTCGAATTCCTTCCTTGCTGTTAGTAACCATCCAACCTCCAAAGCCCTACTTTATTCAAGGGACTGGTGGAGTAGCTGGCTCTGCACTCTGGGAGGCTCCAGGTCCCACTAGGTGTCTCCTGGGGCCAGATATGCAGGAACCAGACCCAGGCTACTCTGGGGGGTGGCTTTCATCCAATAAATATGGCTTTGCCCTTCCTTATTTCCGCAGACTTTCGCTGCACCCTCACATTCATGGGCCTCCATTTAGATGCTTTCACATTCACTCAAATTGCTGGCTTCTCTGGGGTGTCTGAATACCCACTCTAGGCTTTGCTTTCCTCCCCAAGTCCCCTCCCCAGCCCCCAGCCCCCTCTTCCCCTTGAGCTTGATTAGAACTTGTCTCCCTGCTAAATCCCTTAGTTGGGGCCCTTCAAGCCTTGAAACATCATTGTCTGTGCCCCTGTGTCATCATCCTCGGATGAGGCTGCCTTAATCTCTCTCCAGGATTAGCACTGCCTTAGATAGCCCCATTTGTGCCCTGGGCCCCCACCTCCCACCTCCCGAGTGCCCTCCTTCTGTACCAACAGCCCTGAGTGGTGCCCCCCAGTCAGCCCTGCGCTCTTGTGTCCTCTCACCACCTCCTCTTCTGACCTTTCCCTTGTCCCCCCAGATGCCTGTGGCCTCTCAGACCCAGCGCATGTGGAGAGCCTGCAGGAGAAGGCACAGGTGGCCCTCACTGAGTACGTGCGGGCCCAGTACCCATCCCAGCCCCAGCGCTTTGGGCGCCTGCTGCTGCGGCTCCCTGCCCTGCGCGCCGTTCCCGCCTCCCTCATCTCCCAGCTGTTCTTCATGCGCCTGGTGGGCAAGACGCCCATTGAGACATTGATCCGAGACATGCTGCTGTCAGGAAGTACCTTCAACTGGCCCTACGGCTCAGGCCAGTGACTGGACAGGGCCGGGTCTGCAGACCTCAAGGGACACAGATGCTCAGGCCTCCAGCAGGGGGCCCCGGGCAGAGGACCCTGGCTTCCCTCCTCAGACTCCTATTTTTTAAAGACTGTGAAATGTTTGTCTTTTCTGTTTTCTAAATGATCATAAAACCAAAAAGAGACTGATTGTCTAGGCTCCAGCCAAGTCTTCCCCAGAACCCTTGGTCAAGATGAGGGGCAGGACTGAGGGTCCAATCCCAGGACAGCCTTGTCCCTCAGTGCTCCAGGCATGAACTCATGGTGGGGTTGGCTTCTCTGGTGTGATGGACAAAGTCCTGGCGTCTGGACTGGAGGGGCAGCCGCAGCCGGGCAGGGGTAGCGAGTGCCAGGCAGATCCTCTGGACACGTAATCCACGTTGGACACTACATGATGAATGAATCAAGGCCGATAATAAAGATGTTTCCTACCTGCACAGCTGCCATCATCTTTGTGAGGGGAGGGTGGGATGGAGGGTCCCCGACCCACTCCCAGCCATCTGAAACACCCATAACCTAATAATAGCCCTACTTGCTATTTCTGTTGGACAGTTTTGTGGGGAAACTGAGGCTGGGAGCAGGAGGAGACGGGAGGAGGCTGAGGGGGTGCAGAGGATAGCTGGTGAGTCTGCAGGAGGTGAGCTCAGCAGATGGACAAGCCCTGGACGAAACACTTTACTGTTTTCTTTGATTAGCTCTTAATCATGATGTCTGAGCCCCAGTGTCCTCGGGAGAAAGATCTGGGGCTAGTTCACATGATCTCAGGCTAGGCAGAGCCCTCCATTCCCCTGGCCACAGAGATTGCTTTAGGGAGGGCACATGGCCCAGAGCTGATCAATGAGAGTCAATGACAGGATTTGGTACTAGAAGGGTATAAAGCAAAGCAGAGCCAAAAGAAGATCAAATTTCCTAGGATGCTTTTGGAGCCCCTGGATCAAGCCATACCTGAAACCCTTGAGTGTTTCAGTTCCATGATCCCAGAATTCCCCTTCTGTGCCTGAACCAGTTTGAGTTTGGTTTCTTCTCACATGTAACTTAAAAACAAAACAAAAAACAAACAAACAAAAAAACTCCTGTTTTGGAGATTGGCATTTGGAAGGTGGGGACCTCTCAGGGCAGACTTTGAAATGTGGGCTTAATTGAGTTGATGTAGGGTAGGGTGATGCAGGGTACCAGGGAGCTTGCCATCCTGGCCTCAGAAGTTTGTGGCCCAGCTCAGTGGTGGAAAAGGCACCTATGGAATTTATTGCCAGGACTGTGGCTCTAGAGGGTGGGTAGAAAGGGCCCAGATAATTGTGGTGGGTGGCACCTCAGCCCTGACTGACATCTTATCGGGCAGAAACAAGCCCTTTATCAAAGATGCCCTTATAAAACAGTGAGGGAAGAACTCAGGTCTCATGCTGCAGATTGGGCCAGTGTTCAGCCCTAAGGCAGTCCCAATCCTCCAAAATGCTCCCCATTAGCACCCGTCTCCCCCGTATCTGTCTCAGAGGTCTGGAAAGATGGGGAGGAATGAATGAGGATCTATTATGTATGCCCTGTCCCCAAGAGGGAATTGGGAATGGGATGGAGAGGCTACCGGGCTTTCCCACTGGAGGCTGGGCTGGTTTCTGCCCTAGATTGGCGTTTTCTGAGATGAGATGTCCTGGGCATGTGAATGTATGTCCACCTTAGTTAGGCTGGACAGCAATGCCCCATTTCTCAGATTCATAGGACATCTGAAGACCGAGCAAGACCATGGTGCCTGCCCTGCTTCCAAACGGCCAGTGACTTGGATACCTGTCCAGGCCTAACTGTTGACTCCCACTTCTCCCACAAAACCCTACTCATGGCCTCTCCTGCAGGAAGACACACTGAGCTTCCCTAGTTGTTAAGACTGCTGTCCAGCTTTCCGTTATTGCTCTACCCCACGGAGCTCTTTTCCCTGAGGACGGGGGTTCCTTGAGAACTGATCCTGGGACTGAGGCTTCTGTGACCACTGGGCTGGCCCGGCCTTCCCTGCCTGCGCTCTGCCTGCCTGTTCCTGTCCTCTGCGGTTTCCCTGGGAGGCCAAGAGGCAAAGAAAGTAGCTGCTGGGCCACCATCACAGGGCCCCAGCGGAAGCCTGGTCTTACCTGTGCCCCACTCACTCTACCCAGGGCCTGACGCTGAGGGACATCAGAGGACCCTCCCTCAGGACTAGGTGCATGAAATGTACTCACACAGAGCCCGGTGTCAATCACTGTTCAGCCTGCAGTGCTTGGGGAGAAGTGGAGAATGAAGGGACCCATTATTTATCTGGGTCGATGTTGTGCCTCCTGCAGGACTCCTGGGCTGAGTCCGCCCCCTTCAGGCGGTTGGCAGCATTGCACCACATGAATTCTCCAGGACACTGCCCCTAGGGTCCTGGGCTGGTCTTCCCTTCATTACCTAAGCTGTGGAAACCCTTGGTCCCTGGGGCTCCCCTGTCTCAAGCCTGGCCAAGAAGGTGATGCTGGGTAACTGAGCTTCCCACTGGAAGGCCACATAAGGCTCTTGGAGGAGAGGGAGCCCCCTGGACAGACTAGGGTTCACAGCCTGCTCAGAGGCCCTGGACAAATCCCTCTTTTGGAACCTTCATTTTTTTTAACTCTGGCAAATGGAGAACAACTTTTTGGTGATTACAGGTGAAACCAGGAGTTTTAAGCAGCTGTACACAGTAGGCATTTAATAAGTGTTTATTCTGCTGAGATGGAACAGGACCTGCTTCCAGTGGGTGGGCTGAGATCTAGGGTCCCCATGGGGTCCCAGAAGAGGTTCTGGAAAGCCTTCCTTGAGGAGGGCCATCAGATCTGGGCCTCAAAGGCAGAGGCATTTGAAATCAGGGAAGGCTACCCCAAGTGGGGGAACGGGAAGAGCTAAGACCACGAGGTAGGAAGAGGAGTGTGGGCAGGGTGGAACCCCCACCTCGATGTTTCCCCCTGCCTGTGTCAGGATACTTAGAAGTACACAGAGCCCTCGCTGTCTCCTTGGTCATCGAACTTCTGGATCTGTGTCTTGAGGTGCCTTAGTTTGCCCTTCAGGTAGTGGCAGCGAGCCTGCTTGTCCAGGAAGCTGGGGTCCTGAGTAGGGTGAGAGTCAGGAAAGTCCTGTAGCAGTCTGATTTACGGCTCTCAGGCTGCTTGACACTTTGCTTTTTTCTCTCCGAGCCTCAGTTTTCCTTCCTTGAATCTGGGCACAAGTGTCCCAGCCTCATGGGAGAGTGTGTGTGTGCGCGTGTGTGCGCTCGGAATGGGGTGCAAAGGCCAGGCTGTAGGACTCAGGAGGCATGACTTACCATCTGCTTCTTCTCAAATTCCCTCCAGACACGGGCGGCAACATGGGCCTCCTTCTGTAGGGGGAAAGGAAGTGGGTGTTCAGGGAGCACAGAAACCAAGGAGGGATGGGAAAACTGAGGCTGAGATTAGACAAAGTGGACTTCAAGGGCTGACCTTGGCCCATGTGCTGTGGTGCCCGCCCAGCCTGGAGAAGGAAGAGGCCCAGGGATCTGGACCCAGTGGGAGGGCTGGGGTTGGGCTACCTGGATGGGCTGTAGGGTGGGGGTTTCCACCTGGGTGCTGACCTGGCTTCGGGGTGGGGGTAGTGAGTTCAGCAGGGCCTCCAGCTGCTGGAGCTTTGCCTGTGCAGAGCCCACCTCCTGCTGGAGCTCCAAGAACTCCGTGTACTGGTCCTGGAACACTGCAGCATAGCGGCTCCGATCCGTCTCACTGTTCACTGTTGGGTACTTACTACCGGGTTGAAAGAGGGTCGGAGAATGAGTGTGAAGGATCCCTCTCTCTCCCCCAGTCAGTGTAATTTGGGGTTTTTTTTGTCCATGTTGGGCTCCCTGCCCAAAATGCCCCTTTTCTCTTTTTACTATTTGGTAAACTCTTACTCACTTGTCACTTGGCAAAGTCCCAGCCTCAGTGCCCCCTCCCCTGTTCCCAGACATCAAGAACCACACGAAGGACACTCACAGTTCATAGTCAGGCACGGGATGGGGATGGGGCCTAGGGATATGCCCCCCAGGGTCGGCTCCAATAGACTTCTTGGTGCCCAGCAGAGGCAGGGAGGGAAGCTCGTCCTCAAATACAATCTTCTTGGGCCTTGACCTGTGCGCTCCGGGCTGGGGTTGGCACAGTGGGCGGGGCGCGCTGGATGTGAGGCCTCGAGGCACCAGTCGCTGCAGAAGCCGCAGGAATCATGCTTTGGAGTTAACAAGGGCATCGGAAAGGCGGGACCCCTTAAACGGGGGGAATGAATCCTTTGCCTAGGCTCGGCCTGACAGCACTCAGTACTCACCGTTGGGACCCAGGGTCCAGGCGGCGGGCCTGGCAGGTCCCCCCGGGAGCCGCGCGTCTGGCGCGGCTCCCGGGTGGGCAGTTG